TGTTTTTGTTTCACTTGTTCTTGTCGCGGGAGCCCAGCTATCGCTGACAATTATCAAAGGCGTCCGGCAAATCAACCGAAACCGAACACCCGATTTCTCAATAATATCATCCGTGAAACCAACAGCCACAACCGAGCGCTGCTCGCCAAGGAAAACGCAGAATCTAAAGCGAGGCTGCGCAACCTTGACGCAGCTGGTCGCCAAAATCGAGACGATGTGGCACGTAGAGAACGACGATCTAAGCCGGGCCCCAGTGATACTCGGAAGCGCATGCTTGGAGATATAGCCGCTATTTTATCTGGCCCGTCCAAAAAACGCAGACATAATGAAAGTGAAAGGAACGATACGACCTCCATGCCAGACACAAAACGACACACGTCGAGAAATAATTATAGTGAAGAAAACAGATCTCGTGAGAGGAGGCCCAGAGAGGACGGTGGCAAGTCTAAAAGCAGGAATTCGAGAGAGGATCAAGGCTCTGAATCCCAGAACAGTGAGCGTTACAACTGTCGCCGTGAAGAGAGTCGTCGCGACCGCAGATCTAGATCTTACGAACGGGAAGAGAAGCAACGGAAACTTAAGGGATCGTCTTCTCGCGGAAAAGACCATGATAGCAGACACAATCATCGCTCCGATAAACACGCAGCTAAAAAAGATGGTGATTCCGACTCGGATCCACTCAACGATATTATCGGCCCTGCTCCTCCTTCAAAATCTACCGTTCGTCGTCGTGGGCGCGGTCTCAATGCCGCTATGTCTGGCATTGACAGTCGTTTTGCCCCCGACTATGATCCCACGATCGATGTGACTCCCGATCCTGAGGAAGCCGGTGGCGATGATTGGGACAACGCAGTGGAGGCGTTTCGAGACAGACAGAAATGGAAACAGCAAGGCGCGGAGCGACTTCGCTCAGCAGGTTTTTCTGAAGATCAGATACGGAAATGGGAGAAAGGAGATAAGAAGGATGAATCAGATGTACAGTGGAATAAAGCTGGCGGTGTAAGAGAATGGGATCGTGGGAAAGTGGATGATGCAAATGGTTCTACGCTTGAGTAGTCGAGTTTCGGTCGAGTCGATTGAAAAACGAATGGATTGCCGAGAGATCGACAAAGGATTGTTCGGTGCATCGTCTGCCTGGATTAGGCGGCGTATGGTTATGGAAATAGAGTTGAAAGGAAATCATTTCTGGCTCGCATTCCCCGGTGTTTAGGAATGCAATTATACCTAGGGAAATGGAGCCTCGGTAGCGTGGCCAAGAGGTACGTCCCAATAACGAGAAGTAGAGTATACAGTAATATGTGTCCGTTCATTATCCGGATTACATGGGCGGCCCTGTTCCAAACTTATAGCTCTGCAGTGCACGCCAAATTTTATGTACAGATTTCTACAACACATCTGCCCCTGTCAGTCGCCAAAGAGTCGACGCAGGCCGAAACTTGAAGCCGAGCCGGCGTGCGGCGAGGCAAACAATTTTTGCAGGCCGTACTCTGAAGAGGGCAGGCTGACGGGTGACTGACGAATAGGGCTACTCACCGTCGGAGGGGTCGCGAACCAAGTCGTCAGCCCGTACTCCGGGGTCGAGTTACGGCGCGGCACGGACGCACGGCTATGACGCGCCGACGATAATGCATAAAGGGACCGGAGACCCATGCTCAAACTCGAGGATGACCTGTAACCCTCCGGAGCAGGAAGGACGGCTTGTTCCTGGTATCCGCTCCATGTTCTGCCCCTCGGGCTGGATTCGCGAGACGACTCCGGGGTTTCCGGGGTTCCCACCGGGAGCAATTTAAGGCTTCGCCATTTCAGTCTTCTTTGCCCGCCACCACTTTCTGGTGGAGGTGCTTCGCCTGCTTCAGACAGAAACGGCCCTACAAATCTACGGGCGATGATAGAAATGGTCGAGCGGGAGCTTCGCGAGCCACGCTGACCACCTTGTTGTGTACGAGATTCCGGTTCAGGTACGGCCTCCGCGAACCTGGTGAACCTATGCGGAACCCTAGGTCGAATGGTTCCTCGCATCTGTTCTGGAGGCGGAGGGAGCGGCGGCGGCGGCGGCGAAATTGGTGGTGTTGGCGGTGGTCGCGGACCTGAACCAACAACAGATTCCACCGTAGTGTGGTAGCGTTTCCTGCTGCTCTGCCCCTGCAACTCTGTATGGGCCGGCGATCTGCCGCCGTGCATGAAGTACATCGGTCTTCTCTGTTCCACCTGCCTTGTGCCCCGGCGTTGATATGAAACCCAACTATCGCTCTCTCTGCTTCTACTCCTGATGTCTTGTGGTGTCAAATTTTCGCCAGGTGACCCCGGTTCTCTGGTCGTATTCTCCTGATCGCACGCGGGCCTCAACAGTTCTCCCAGCTTTCTACGGAGGGATGAGAAGAAGCTCCGCACGCTTGAGCTCGGCCGCTTTCTCTGTCTTCGGTGGCGCTGGTCCCCGGTACGACGATGATGCTTACGGCGGTGTCTGCGGTGGTGGCCATGATGATGTCTGTGTCTACGTCGACTATAGGCACGAGGCTCGTTGCAGTGACCTCGTTCCCCGGATTGGAAACGCACTTGACTCGGAGGAGGCGCGAAGCCCGCCCGCCCCGCCTCCGCCGGCTCCGCGTTTTTTGGCTTCTTGTGGTTATAGGCTTCGACATTAACATCGGCGTCAATGTTGCCACTCTCATCACCACCCTTGTCATCTATACCGCCATCGTCCTTCCCTTTATCGATCTCCTTTTTCGGTCTTTCGTTTTCTTTCTCCCTCTCCCTCTCCCTCTCCGCCCCTCTCCCCCTCCACCCCTCGCGTTCACGACTTTTCCTTGCCTCCTCGTCCCGCTTATGCTTCGCAAACACGTAAGCATGCGACCTAGGGACAGCAATTGGAAAGTTAGACGGCGCTGGAGCCGGTGGTGGCGGTGGGAGCGACTCTTCTCGTTCCGAGATCTCGCCGTGTAACTGTGGTCGCGGCCGCCGAGGCCGTTGCCGTCGCCTGCTCTTTCCTGCACCGGGCGATTTAGAGGGCCGGCGCCTTGGAGGCGGGTCCGGAGTTTTTGCCCTAGGATCCGGGAGATGGCAGCCGTAATAGGCGGCCGCAAGGGCGTCGCTGTGTTCCTGGCCTTGTCTATGTAGTGCGTCTGCTATATTAGTGGGGATTGCATGTGCGTGGTTCACGCTGGATGGGACGTATTGCGAGATAGCACCAAGGTAGATAGGCGGGAGCTTTGGCGGAGGGGAGTGCGTATAGAAGCCAGACGTGGTTTTGCGTGTTTGGAGTTGGGGCGAGCTGCTCCTTGCTCTCCTGGGAGGCCTGCTCCGACTTCGACTTCGACTTCGACTTCGACTACGGCTTCGTTCTCGTTGGCCGTGTGGCGGCGCATGACTGTGCGAATAATGGTGAGAATGGCGGAGTCGGCTTTCTCTAGGTGGTCTACTAGACATCGTCGCGGATCCACCGGTCCTCTGAGATGTACCGGTAATACGACCCTCTAGAGTCCGTCCGGGGAGAGAGGGGGGCGAGGCGGAGGGCGAGGGCGATATATTAGGAGAGGGAAATGCGTCTACATCTGCATAACCGAAATTTGATTTCCCTCTTCTTCTTCTGAATTTACACCATACACGTTTCCAGAATCCAGCCAGTCTCCGTAGATTCACTGTTGAAAAAATGCCATTAGACAACGGGGGATTTTGGCTTTTTTCTTTTCTTTTTGTTTTTTTTTTTTTAAATGGAAGGGGAAATATGTGTCTAACTCCCGACTTAACTACGTATTGGATCATCCCCATCACCGTCACCCACTAAACAGGTAATCTTGTATACCTACTTGTCATCGCTGCCTCCCTCGCTAAAGTAGGTAGGCTACGGAAATCATAACAAGTCGATACGTCCATCCATACAAACATTACATAGTGTACGTATACGTACCTACCCGACCGTGAACCCAGCTAATAAGTCATTAAACAACTGCTCTTCCTCGGAGTCGCCGACGCACGTGTTGAGTAGTGATTCGCCATATATCGCAGCGTGAATCAGAAAAAGGTCCAGTCCGTTATCCCACGGGTCCTAGTATAAAGCGCATTCGACATACCGTGTACGGGAATACATTTCGCTGTTTTTTCTTTTTTTTCTTCGTATGTGTCTGTGTCGTGAATGTAAAGAGGCACGTATGTATGTATGTATGTATGTATGGAATGTATGTACGTACGTACGTACGTAGCAAAGAAGTCCTGTAAGAGAGAGGAGAAAAGAGAAACGAGTTTCAGCACAGCGAGCCCGATGACCACGGACTGGAAATGTGTTGCTCGCTCTCTCTCCGCGCGCGTGTGTGTCTGTCTTTCGCCCCCGGGGCCCTATAATTACTCTACATAATACTGTATGCATCGTTACGCGCATCGGGGTTTAGGACGTTCGGCATTGGCTAAGACGTTTGTATGAAACCCACAAACCAAACCACTGCAAACATACTGCGTAAGTAGAAGACTACATCCTATAACGACCTGCTACATACATACATATCCCTTAGTAACAAGACGCAAAAAGAATAAAACCAAGAAAACAAAAACAGCCACAGAACGTCGAACAACGCGTTAGAAAGTGTCCACAGCCACGTGGGGGTGAAGAGAAGAAATAATGAAAAGGAAAAAAAAAAAAAAGAAAAGAAATTGAAATAGAAATTGAAAAAGAACGCCCCAATGACATGCCATGCCGGAACACGTGGATGGCACGCATTGAGTTTGCTGCCAGGGCCCTTGTCGGGGGGGGAGGGAGTCCTTGGACGTTTTAGCCCCCGTTCGCTGTCGGCCTACGGAATTGGTTTCATACCCCATCTTTGAGGCGTTTCACCGACATTTTGGGATGCAGGCGGTTTTTAACGGAAGGGCCGCCAGGGCAGGGGAGGGGGGGGGGGTACCTAGAAGAGAGAATATGTAGATAAGTATGTATGTGTGAGAGAGAGAAAGGGAGGATCCCTATATAATAGTTCGGGACGGGCCGGTTGTCATGGTTCAATTGATTGCTTGGTCTGGTGGTCTAGCGGTATGATTCTCGCTTAGGGTCCACCCTAACTGCTCCTGTTTGCGAGAGGTCCCGGGTTCAATCCCCGGCCAGACCCGTTGATATAACCAGCTGGTTGTGTTCGGAAGAATGCAATCGGATTTCTTTTCTTTGCCATATTTTTTGGCGCTGATTTGGCCATGTTTGTTTGAATCGTGGTTGACTGATAGAGAAGAGAGAGTGTGTTTTGGTTGTTGTGCGGGTTGTGAGCATGTGTGCACAAGACATAATCCTCGGCAACAACCCTTTCTATTCTGACAATTACAAACTACGAATTCACCACTCGTCAACAAGAAAGGCTCTCTAACTGATTGATATTCATGATTGTCATGTAAGCGGCATTGAACCAAACAACAACATCCTACCTACATACATAGTACCTAGGTAGGTAGTCCGCAACAGGAAACAAACCCAACATCTCCGCCTCAGAACAAAAGGAAACAAACTCACAATCACACCCTGTGACCAGACAAAAACGAAACTTGTTCATGTAATGTAATGTAATGTAATGTAATCGGATAGCGGCACCTCCACAATCTCCGCCAAAACCTCCGCCACCTCACCTCACCTCACCACACCTCACTTCACCTCACCGCCGCGAGCCGAGCCGGAAAACGCGTCCCGACCCGACCCGCCAGCGCTGAACGCTGAATCGGGCACGACCACTTCAGCAAGAACAACTCAGCGGAAGAAGAAAGCACATGTACATGTTTCATTTTTATATAGATAGATGGTGATAAAAGAATAGATAGATGGCCATTGAAACGGGAACAGGACACATGCACACACAGTACGGGAATGGCATCCGCATACCTACTTGCGAGTACGTATTCCCACTTTCTAAGGACAACACAACGCAGCGCAGAGACGGGATGGAACGAGCTGCTCCCGCTGGCCTCTTAAATCACTTATTCGGCTCCGTACCTGTAGGCCGGATGCGCTCTCACCCACACCTAGGTAGGTGGGTGGCATAATCTAGGTAGATGAATTAGGTAGAGTAATTGTTCACACCTGACGTCTTCACTGGTATCCCGTATGTCTGTCTGTAAGAAGCATGTAGTGTATATCGTTTGTTGAGATAGATAAGTATGTATGCTCTAACTACATTCACTCGCTCGCTACACGACGCCTAGATCCTCATGTCTGCGTCAATCACGATGGCTTCGTTTCATCAAATATAGAAAGCACATCTCGTCACTGTAACTACCACGCATCAGAAACATTCTATCCACGACTTAACACAGCATATCCACGTAGATTCATACTCAACAAGCTCCCTCATCAAAGACAGACAGACAGACAGACGAACACCAACGCAGCAATGCATATGTCCATTAAGCAGACTCTATATTTATTTACTTTATATATTTATATATTTATTTATCTATATTGATCCATTTAAGCCAGACATTGACTGACCACCCCCCTCCCCTCCCTCCAAAATTCTTTTTTTAAATAAAGCCCTTCAGCACCGCCGCTTCAGCATTGAGTATCGAAGAGCCCGCAGCCCCAATAACAGCTACACGAAATCATCACATCAGTAAACATCCCCAAACTCCAAATTGAAAACAAGATAACATGAAAAAGAAAAGAGGGGGGGGAGGGAGGGGGGGCGGCGGAGGAGGGAGAACTCACTATTATGGCTCAGCGCCACAAATTTGATATCAAAAATCCCGCTCTCATCCTCCCTAACACGCCCAACACTAACCGTGTACCCACGGCTCAAGTCGCGATCGAGTCGAGGCTGCGGACGATCCGGCTCGTCAAAAACCATAATACTAGGCTGCGGCGCACTAGGACAGCCCAGCGTCTGCGCCTCGCTAACGTACTCCCTCATCGCAGCCTTGACGTCCTCCGCCTTAGGCGGGGGCCTGTTCTTGAAGCGCAGCGAGACGCAGGCGGTGTGGCCGTCGAGGACCGGGACGCGATTGCAGGACGCGGAGACGCGGAGCTCGTCTTGTTCGACGAAGGCGGTGGCGTCGCCGTTGATGGCACCGAGGATCTTGCGCGCCTCCGTCTCCAGCTTGTCCTCCTCGCCGCTGATGAAGGGCACAACATTGTCCATGATGTCCATGCTACTGACGCCCGGGTAGCCCGCGCCCGAGACGGCCTGCATCGTCACGACGCTGACCCTGTCGACGGGGCCGAAGCGTGCCTGGAGCGCCGCGAAGGGGATCACGAGGCCGATGACGGCACAGTTCGAGTTGCAGACCAAAAAGCCCTTCTGCAGACCGTATTGTTTCCGCTGGTGCGGGATGAGGTTGAGGTGGGGGAGGTTGACGGTCGGCACAACGAGGGGCACGAGCGGGTCGCGGCGGTAGTTCTTTGCGTTGGAGAAGACGGCTAGATTGGCCTTGAGGAACTCCATTTCTAGCACGCCACGAAAAAAAAAAAGATCAGTCAAATCGTGTCAGATTCGAGCAGGGGCACTACCTAACACGCACCTATCTCGCCAGCAACGTCTGCGTCAAGTCCGCTGAAGACGATATCGCAATCCGCGAACTCGCTAGCCTTGCACTCGCGAACGACGAGCTCGCCGACAGCGCCCATGGGCGACGCCTGCTTCCACCGCACCGCATCCTTGTATTTTTTCCCGGCCGACCTAGACGAGGCGCCAACGGCGTGGAGCACGAAGTGCGGGTGCTGCGACAGCAGCAGAATAAAGCGCTGTCCGACCGAACCCGTGCATCCCAGGACACCTGAGCAAAAGGACGTCAGTGAGAGTGAGAGGAGGTATAATTAAGCTTTACATAATAAGAAAGTAGCTCATACCGCACTTCTTGGTAGGGAATTGAGAGGCCATGATCGAGGGGGAACACGGCGGCGGCGACGGATAGACTTCGGCTCTAATATTATAAACCTCGCTAGACTACGGGGAAATGGGTTTGTATGAAAGGTTGAAATCGCTCAGTGCCGGCAACAGACCAGGTATGTACCGGTATTTCCTCCAATCTCCTCCTCGTCGATAAATGGGTAGGTACCGGTAGTATATTCTAGGTCGGCAGTAAAGATGCACCCCGCTGTTTAGTGTAGATAGCGTAGGCAGACTCACTTGCGCCCCGCCATCCGATATCGGATATTGAACTCTCCCTATTAGATAAGTACTTACGTAATGCACATGATATACTTTCGTACCTACATATTCCGTACTGCCGCGGGACCTGCATCCGTATGTGCTTCTAAATTAAGGTCCCGATCTGCTTGCAGATAACGTAGGCAGGACCTGGTATATCAACAATGCGGCTGGCGTCAATCATATGTGTAGATCAAAGCCCTAGTATAGTGTAAGTCAAGTGAGGTTAAGAAAGAAGACACATTGGAGGATGCAATCGTGAAGTTCTTTTCTGCTACGTCGTCGGATTTTTATGATACTTTGCCTTGAACACCATGCACTCTAATAAGCCAAAAGCAGAGCCTGGGAGGTATATACACTAATTGAGCAATGCTTGAAAAGAGACACACTGATACAAAAGACAAAACAACATTGGCCATGTTCAAACAATCCATCCATAAAAAGTACCCGAAACTCCTCATCCGGGAAATACGCGGAGAAAAGGCAATGCCATTATTTCGTTTTAGTCCATTGATGGAATACCCTCATACTCGGCGTAACCGCGAGCCAAGTTCATGTTTTCTAATGTATTGGTTAGTCGGGTTCAAGCAGCAATAAGAGACTGGGAAGATACATACGTAGGCATTGCGTTGCGGCTCCCTTCAACAAGTTGTCGATCGTTGCACATATTACAACTCGTTTCCCGGAGCTGTGAACCGCGAACCCACCAATCTCTACGCCGTGCTTGCCGCTGATCGCTTTGACCAGAGGCGCTTCGCCAACGACCTTGACTAGCTTCTCGCCAGCGTATCTATCCTGGTAGATTTGGCGAATGTCTCGAGAGGTCATGGTCTTGTTAAGGGGTAGGTTGATGGTGTGATGTATGCCCTGGAACCATGATGCAACATGGGGAATGAACCCCGCCGTAATACCAAGCTGGGTACTCATCTCTTTCTCGTGGATGTGATCTGTAAGGCTGTATGCGATAAGGTTGTTGGCCAGATTTTCAACATTGTTCTTGGGAGACGGCTTGGTTCCAGCACCTGAGTAGCCGGAAACTCCAAATACCGTAGGGTCTCCGCCTAGATGCTCGACCATGGGAGCAATGCCTAGTTGCGCCGCGGTAGCATAGCATCCAGGGTTGGAAATCAGAGTAGCCTGGGAAATAGTCGATCGCTTCACCAATTCGGGGAGACCGTATGTCCACGACTTGTCAAATCGATAATCGGCTGACAGATCAATGATCAAACTGCTGTCTTCCCGCGGCGCTGTCTCCTTCGCACTGTTGATGGCATCAACATAAGGCTTGCAGACACCGTTGGGAAGTGCCATGACCCAGACATCAATCTGTCCCTTCTTCTCCATTTCGCCCACATCATCAGGAGAAAGGCTCTCGTATGTGATCTCCTTCTTGCTGTAGCCTTGTAATTTCTGTCCTTCTAATTCTCGGGACGAGACGTTGCATAGCTGAAAATGGGGGTGGGTGTTGATGAGATTAATGAGAGCCTGTCCAGTATAGCCTCGAGCTCCAATCAGGGCCACACGCGAGGGCTGGCTGTTAGAAGCATGCTTCTTTCCATACGGAGGGTTGGGATTTGTGGTAGTTGCGTAGCCCCTGGAGACACCACTAGGGAAAGCTCGAGTCGGGATAGCTCCCATCAGCGGGCGACGGGCCAGGCTTGAGAAACCTCTGACCTGGTTCGCTGCTGAGCTGGAGGCAAAGTGCGACTTCAGATTCTGGGAGGCGATCTGGGCGGCTTTGTGCAACCGCGACTCGAGGTTGGAGTCACCAAGCATGGCCCGCCCGTGCAGAGTGAATTCCTTCATGAGCTTGTTTAGTTGCTCACCCGGCTCAATGCCATACCAGAACATGACATCGTTGCCCCTAACAAGACTGCCAGCCGCTTTGTCAAAGAACCAGGTGAGGTTTTCATCGTCAGATTTTACTGTCCAAACCAAGCTAGGATACTCTTTCTGGATTGCCGCAAATAGATTATCAGCAACAT